CAAGTTGTTTTCTCCTATGTAATTATAAATGCTATTGAAATACCATTTCAATGTTTTTATACATATCATGATTATTACTTCCAATAATAATTATAAAATATAGTTTATCTTAAGTCCCTGGATAAAAATGTGCCACACTTTCATTGTAACTGTCCCATTGAGTTCCATGGGCTATTGAATGCTGTTAATTTCAGAAATTATTTTGGTTAGTAACAGTTTTGTTGTTATTGTTTTAATATTAGAATGCCCCCTTTGAGAGCTTCACATGTGCTTGCTTGCGGGCAGTCCAAACCAAACAAGACCCATGATTATTTAAAGAAGCCACTTTGACTACACAGTCCACTCATCCTTTTCAGATACAAAAATAACACATTGTTTTATCTATGAGTATAAGAATCCTTTTTCAAAGGAAATAAAAAGAGCAGACAGTTTCCTTCCTGGCTAATGCATGAACCTCTTTAAATTTGTTAAACATAGCCACAGACACAACTTACTCGCCTGGTTTCACTTCCTAAACTCCACCTGACAAGATAGGTCAGTGGGAAGGGTCTATTTGCATATATTTAGAAGTCAATCTAAAGCCAGGGAATGTTTCACAGCCACCAGAGTGAGAAGAATAATGCTTTAGACTAGGGCAGGAATCTAATTTCAGTGATAAAATTACTAAGCAGGTATACTGCATTCAGCTGTTCTGAACAACATCCAAGGATCAAATTTTTATTCAGTAAGCCCAAAGTACTTTCATTCAAGATTGCGTCTAACTCATAAGATCCACATAATATCAACTTTCAAAAATTTTCCTACTCAAAAATCACAGATATCCGTAAGTGGAGCTGAAACCTGCCTCCTTAAAATTTCACCACCATCTCCCTTCCTTGGTTCTGTTTTCTGGTGTGTCAAAGAAGGAGTCAGAGGTCTCCTGAGTCTGAAAGCTCCTCAAATACTTGAAGAAAACAATCATGTCAGCCCAAGTTGTCTCCTTTTTAGACTAAACATCCTCATTTCCTCTCACTGTTTTACTATTACCCTATTAGGACTATGGTTTCATTTATTTATGCTTCTCTTAGAGATGGGTACAATGTTTCATGTGTGGTTTGATGATTGCAGATCAGGTAATCTCTTTTCTCAGCTAACCACAGTTTTTAAACAGAGAGTTTGGGAACAGCCATCACTCTTAAAGCAGGAAAAAAAAATTACAAAAGGGAGCAAGGGAGAAGGCAGAAAAACTGCAAAGCAAACACAAGAACTCAAAAAGCATGGCCACTGGGGGCAATAACCAGTAAAAAGAAGGAGATGTATATATACAGTGTCTGTAGCCATATTGCAAACTAGACTATTTCTCTAAGTGATATTAAAAAGTAATGCCACATGAGGGAAAAGAGGTAATGAATCAAAAGTACAAATTCCTCACGAAATTCAATGGACAAAACAATAGGAAATATTTAGAATTATTTAGAATTCATTATTGCCAAAGAAGATACGGATGTAGAAGACCCAACGTTGCTCATAACTTGCTGTCGTCTTCTGCCTCATCCACCTTGCCGGTCCAGCACCCTCCAACGCCTCCTCTAGACATCAAGTCACCATATCCTTTTTGCCTCTGTGAACTTCTTTAGCCCTTATTAGCAGCATTTTATAGTCTGTTTTATACAAATCGTGTTTCTACTTGACTCTTAGGAGGCACTCAAAATGTTTATTAACCTGGTTCTAAATGTTTCATGTGCACCTTACTCTCTTTTCAACTAGGCCTTCAAAAGCCACTGAGGTTAGTTGATTGTGGCTTACACTTCCATATCCTGCATAATCCTGGGCAAATAAATAAGTCATTGAGTTAACAACACATTGAATTCGGCTTGTCTCTATTGCCCTAAACAATATACTGTTGTATTTCTTTTATCAGATATTCAGTGGGGGTTTTTTAAATAGATGAATCCAACAAACATTTATCGAGTGCTCTGGGATAGAAAAGTGAGCGATAGGCAATGATAAGTGTTGCATTAAAGGTCCATGCCAAGTGCCCCGGGAGCACAGAGGGCAGATGAAGGTGTGACCGGTAGTCAGGTGTAGAGAAAGTGAATTTTAAAGGATGAGTGGGATTGTCCAGGGGGAGAACTGACGGAAGGAGGCCTGTTCAGACAAGAGGGAAACAACGTGTAAATGCAGAAGACTAGGAAGAGCGCAGCATGTTCACTGTGTCACAAGTAGTGCAGTCCAGCTGGAGTGCTGGGCGCCAAGGAAGCACATGGGGTAAGCATGGAGAAGGAGCCTGCGGAGGACCCGTGTGCCTGGATGAGAGGAACAGGCATCAGGAGCCACTGCAAGATTTGAAGCAGGGAAGTAACATATCATAAGAGTAATTATTTAAAAAGATTGCTCTAGCCCAGCCAGGCGTGGCTCAGCGGTTGAGCATTGACCTAGGATCCAGGAGATTGGGGTTCGATTCCCGGTCAGGGCACATACCTGAGTTGCAGGCTCGATCCCCAGTTGGGGGCGTGCAGGATGCAGCTGATCAATGACTCTCTCATCATTGATGTTTCTATCTCTCTCTCTCCCTCTCCCTTCCTCTCTCCGAAATCAATAAGATATATTAAAAATAAATAAATATATAAAAAGATCACTAGATTTGGGGGTGCATTGGAGGAGGGTGAGAGGAGCAGTCTGTTTGAGGGGCTAAGAGATGATGTCAAGAGATGATAGGGATCAGAACATCTGCAATGACAGCTGATCTGGGCAATTCAAGTGAAAATTATCTTCCCTTTCCTCAAGAGCAAATGATATAGGCTGATAGAAACTTTCAGAACTTACCAGTGATGGCAGTATTCCCATCTGACTTTTCAGGAAAGCATAACATTAGTGGGAAAAGAATCAGAGTAGGAAATCTAACAGCAGGTGGAGAGAAAACCAAATAACAGGATAACTGAGTCTAAAAGCTCAACTTTATGCTAAGGCCTTGCAGACAAGTTCCTAAGGCACTTCAGGAATGAGAAGAATGGAGAAAGGATGGAAACCTAGAGTTTCCAAAGGCATGGGCTCAAGTCTCAGCCCCACTACCCATCTGTTGTGTGACTTTGGGCAAGTAATTTAAGCTCTTTGAGATTCCATCTTCCCATCTGTAGACTGAGGATACTACTACTTACTCCTTTGGACTCCTATGAAGTTAAAGGGATGAGCATATCAAGTGTCTGCACATAAAGACACTAAATAAATATTAGTTTCCTACTAAGTGCTGGGCATGGGTACGGGATACAAAGGTATGTCAGATACAGCTTATGATTCAGGAGGGAAGAAAAACATATCAGTGACTAAATAAAAAAATGCAGAATAAAATGAGTTTGACTAAAGACTCAGGAACCATGTTGTGGGAGAGCAGAGAAGAGAATGAGAAGAGAGCATCTGACTTAGCTGTTCATCCTGGAGGATGTCACAGGGTAGAGAGCATCTACACAGGCCTGGAGGATAAGGAGGATTTGGATGAAATGGGGAGGAGCCTGGACAAAAGACCTCCCAGGCTGTGTTCACAGCCATTGCCCACCCACATTCAGACAGAAGTGGGTACAGACACCTGGGGAGTGAGGGCAGCTACATGGTGGGTTGGAGTGAGTCACTGCATATCTGCCATTCCCTGGCCACAGGATTTAGGTCAGTCATTTCATTTCTCTCTGGATTTTATAAGAACTGCTTTATGTATCTTGCAGGGTTGTGAGGATATGGGGGAAAATACCTTCTGGACTGAGGATTAGGAATCTTCCTTGCTCTCTGCTGCTACCCCTCTCTCAGATGAAGGTCCCTTCCTGGCCTGAAGCAGCTGCTCCCTGAGAATCATACCTGGAGTTCCTGCTAAGTGATGTTAACAGTCCTTTGAAGGAGGCGTTAAAGAGAGATTCACACTTAGTAACTTGTTTTCTCCCTGTGTAAGCAGAAAGGTTGAAATGATACTTTAAAACAAAGATTATTTGGGAGACAAATAAGGCCATTACTGAAAGTATGTGGGGATGCTACCATCGACTTTTTCTGAAAAAGTGTGAATTGGTGGTAGCATACTTTCAGAGTTTTCAGGAGACTCTAGAATAATTTCCTTGTAAAAGAAGGGGGTTGATAGTTTTTTTTTAAAGGAGTCTGAATTCTCAGAGCTACAATCTTTAAGCACTGGAAGATACCAAGGCAGAAGAACTGGTGTATATTGCCTTCTCCCTAGTTCCTCCCCCCAAAATACATACATATTCTGAAATCTACTGGGGAGCATTTGGAAATAAGCTACTGAACAAATTACATCTTTTCATGTAAAACCTCAATGCGCCATAGATAGTTACATCTAAGAGGTGCCAATTTAGTAATTTATGATGCTGTAACTGTTATGTTTTAGGTGATTCTTGGCATCAGAGAATTGAAATTGAGGTCTAAACTATTTTCTAAATGGAAGCCACATGGCCACAGCCCAGCGTAGGATTAGGCCTCTTTGTATTTTGCTGCTCAACAAACTATCTGAAGCCTATGTAGTTTTTTTTATTATGTGTTGCTTCTTTGTGATATTTTGCAGCCTACTTCATGTTAAAAAACAGCTTATGAAAAGTTTAGAAGATGTCTAACTTGTGGGAATTGGAAATGGAAAAAAATGAGTAACTTCCACTATGTAGTCCACCCCCCCCCACACACACCCATCGTCTTCCTTCTTGGATTTCTTTCTCACTGGTGTGGCCACTCCTGTCATTCTCTGTGGGCCAATGTCATCACACTGGCAGCAGCTGGTTTTCTTCCGGGAACTACTTCTCCACAGAGACTGTGTTCAAATGGCTCTCAAGGGTGGCCGGCCAGGGTCCCCACCTTCTGCTTGCAGAGGGGAACCAGACAGGCTTTTCCCAGAGGGACAGCGGGAAGGGGGCGGGAGGTCAGGGAAAGGCACAGACAGGAGGGGCAGCAGGAGACGGGGAGGTGAAAAGTTAAACAAACAGGGAAATCGATGTCTGAGCAGTTTCTGGCTGCTTTCCGCAGCAGCTGTTTACCTTGAACGGTGAGGTAGGCTGAGCTCTCCACAGACCCCCTCTGGTTCGTGGCCCTGCACTGATAGACGCCCTCGTCCTCCTCTGTGGCTCTTTCAATAAACAGCGTGCTGCTCCCCGGCCCTAAAATAATGCCTGAGAAGTGAGAGACGTTTAGATTAGGGGGCCTGGATGACAAACAAAAACAGCTCCTTTGGTAACACAACCCCCTTCCTATCATTACGCATTCAGACAAGGAAATCCGAGCTCGGGCCAACCTGGGGCCAGACTGCTTATTTATTTTCTCTGGTGCAGGCTTTTTAATAGCACCTTTACCATCCCAGCAGGGCTCTGACCCCCAGCTCTAGGGATGCATCTGACCAAGGCCATTTGCTCTGTGAAAGAAATGAGGTGGGATTGCCATACCAAGCTTTGAAGAACAAATATCAGGGAGGTAGCGTTTCTAATAATAATAACTACCATTTACTCAGTGCCTGCTATGTGCTGGGCATTATAGGAGACACTTTCTATCTTCAGTTTAGAATCATCGTTAAGGTATTACGGTCTCCATTTTACTGATCTGGAAACTGAGATTTGGTGAGTCAAGCAACTTGACCAAGAGTGTACAGTTGGACTGAAAGCACATTTGTGGTGCATGGGTTAAGGGAAATCATGTTTCATTTAGCATAGTGGTAGAGAGCTTAGGCTATGTTTTAATCTAGGCCTTACTGCTTCGAGTTTTGTCACTTTTGGCAAGTTACTTAACCTTTCTAGATTTCAGTTTCCTCTGCCTTAAGATGAATATGAAAGCAGTTCCTCCTAGATAATGGGAAAATGAATGGCAAGTGCATGGCACGTAATAAGAGTAAATATAAGCTTAAGCATCACTACCAAGCACAGTGTCATGAAACCAGCACCAGGAATCTTCAGACCCCAGTTTTGAGACCCAGTAGCTTCAACACCAAGTACATATTGAGTGCTTGCTCTGCCACCAGTCTGTGTTAGAGACTGGAGCGGGGGGTGGAGAACAGGCTAAGACACGGTATCTGCTGAGGAAGGAAAATTAACTCATGCCAAACACACATATATATATATGTTCTCTCTCTTTTTTCTCCCTCTGACACACATCTACACCAGCAAACAAAAAATGTTGAATGAATAAGAATGAATAAATGTGGCATAGCATACACAATTAAATGCAAAGTTTGGGGTAGGGAGGGAGATCAATAAGGACAGGAATACTCAGGGAAGGCGGCTTGGAGAAATAGAAGGGGTGGGCCTTGGAATTTGAAGGGTTAGCAGAGGTTTCGGGAGAAAGGAAGGGTTGGCACTGAAACAAATATGCACTGAGTGCTTGTTCTGGAATAGTGATAAAGTGGGCCTGACCAGGCTGTAGGATATATTTTGTTAGTTTAAATAGTTTGTATTCCCCCTGATTATAACATATTCAATATAGAAAATTTGAAAAATATTGGGAAGCATAAAGAAAATGTAAAAAAAAAGAAAAACAACCAAACCTACAACCTTATCCCTCAGATATTTTTCCTTTAGTCTTTTAAGTGGACTTTTTTTATACAGTTGATTCATTCACATACTATTTTTGAGCTCCCACCATTATTAGATACTATTCTAGATGCTGGTGATACAATAAGAAGCAAGGCAAATAAATCCTTGCCTACAAAGGGCTTAAATTATAGTTTTAGGGAATTATTGATTTCAGAGAGAGGAAGGGAGAGGGGGAGAGAGAGAGAGAGATAGAAACATCAATGATGGGACAGTCATTGATTGGTTGCCTCCTGCACGCCCCCGGCTGAGGATCGAGCCCACAATCCAGGCATGTGCCCTGACTGGGAATCGAACCTTGATCTCCTGGATCCTAGGTCAAGGCTCAATTGCTGAGCCACACCGGGCCAGGGCTGAGGAAGCTATTTCAGATAGGGTGTTTTAGGAAGGCTCTCTGAGGAAGTGACATTTGAGCAGATACTTGAAAGATGCGAAAAGAGTGAGCCATTTGGAGATCTGGAAAGGGCATTTTAGGCATAGGGAATTGCAAATATAAAGTCCCCAGGGCAAGAACTACCTTACAGAAAAGTGAAAAGACCACTGTGACTAGAGTAGAACAAGCACCAGCAGAGAGGAGAGCTAGGCAAGGCCCATAAACCATGGTAAAGATTTAGGATTTTATTCTAAGCACAGAAGAAAGCCATTGGAGGGCTACAAGACTGTATGGGGACCAGGGTGGGAGCAGAGCGAGCAGTTGGCTACTGAAGTTATCCATGAAAGATATGTGGCTTTATCCTAGAGAGACTACGTTGGAAGTTGTAAGAATTGGTGGTTTGGGGGATATTTTTGAAGGCAGAACCAATCGGTTTGCTTATGGATTAGCATGTGGTACCTGAAAAGGAGTAATAACTTAATGGTTTGAATACCTGGGACAATAGTGGTACCTTTCCTGTGGGGGAGCAGGTTCAAGGGAGGAAAAGCAAGAGTTGTGTTTCACACATGGTTTGATGTGCCTATTACACATCTGAAAGGAGGTTTCATTGGGAGCTCAGGCAGGGGTTGGGGATTAGGGACAGCTCTATGGAATCAACATACAGAAGGCATGTGAAGCCATGGGGATGGAAATAAACTTCATTGGGTGTGAGTCCAGATAGAGAAGATAGCAACTCTGAAGGCTGAGCAGTGGGAATTTAGCGGAAGAGGAAGCAGCATAGAGACCAAGAAGGAGTAGCCCCGGAAGTGGCATAGATTTCCAGAAACAGATTAGGTCTAAAGCTCTTGATTCATAAGAACATTGCCTTCCAAAAAGATCATACCAATGAACACCTCAACAGCAGAGGATAAGAGACTAGTTTATCATCACCCTCCTGCCAGTACTGAGCAGTATCGCCTAAAGAATACAAAACACAAAACTTTGCTGATTTGATAGATGAAGATCATTGTCATTTTGTGTTTCTTTGCACATTCTTTCATGTGCTTGGTAGCCATTTTTATTTTTTATTATATTTAATTTTTTATTTTATTTTTTCCATCACCTTTTATGCCGTCTATGCCCTCTTCCACCTCCATCCATCCATTTTTATTTTTAAAGCACCTGTTTTGAGTAGTTGAAAATGTGAGCTCAGATTAAGGAGAGCTTTGAAGTCCTGGCTGAGGAGCTGCCATTCAATGCAGAAGGAGAGAGAGGGTCACACAGATTTTTGAGCAGGGAAATGACATAAGGAAAGTAATGTTTAAGGAAGTTTAGTCTAGAAGGATAGTGCTGCATGGACAGGGACTGAGGAAAAAGTGGCATCTGGAAGGTCAGCTCACCAGCTGTAATTCAGGCAGGGGACGGTGAGGATCCAAATCTGGAGGGTGGAAAAGGAAGTGGAGAAGAAGAAATGGAAACAGACACTTTGTAGCAACAGCCTAAAGGAATTGGTGCTTTACTGATACAGGAATAGACAGAGATGAGTCCTAGAGGGTTTCAGTGTTCTAAGCCCAGATGACAGGGGCAAAAACAAGAGTCTGTAGCCTTGGCTAAACCATTTAATCTCTTTGCGGCTGTTACCCCACCTGTAACATGAGAATGGTACGTGCTTTGCCTATTTCATGGTATTGCTATGAGGTCAATTGAGATAATTCAAGTGAAGCTTTGAAGCTTTGAGAAGTTTAAGATATGGTATAAGTGGCAATCACAGAAAGTAGAAGTATGGCTGGGTCCTGAGTGGTCAGGGGCAATGAATGTTTATAATAGCAGCTATCTTCTTACCCATAATCATCTCTTGCAGCAGACCTGAACCTCAACCATTTTTCTATCACTCAAATCCCAATTTAAGGCTAATAGCATGAACAAATAAAGCCAAAGGACTTGAATTTCAGCCAAGGAGACAGATGTGTAATTGTGGCAGTCAGAGAATAGTGCCAAGAATGCTGATGAGCTAACATCATCTGGCACAGTTTCCTCTTTCCATCACATGGAGGAGAGGAGATAGGGTGAGAGGATGTCCCAAATGAACAAGCAAAGTTCTTCTTTCTGACTTGCCCTCACATTGGACCATAACAAATGGCACCGACATTGATGCGCCACCATCAGATAGGCCACTCAAAGTCTCATTCTCTACCCTTGCTATTTATTTCCCTTCTCATAAAAATAGGCCAGTTACTATCCTTATTATTTTTCTCATAATTCAAGTATTCTGCCCATATTTATTCATAGTTGCCTCCTTTAGTTTCTGTAATGCCTTAACCTATTGCTACTTACTTTCTGTCACCCGATTCCTGTGATAAAGGCTCTGTTCTACTGAGGAACTCACCTTTTTTAAAGGGCTCTTTCTTTAGTTCAAATTTTTCATTGTGATTAATATTAAACATTAAAAAGTACAGACAGCCTGGCCGGGCGTGGCTCAGCGGTTGAGTGTTGACCTAGGATCCAGGCGATCAGGGTTCGATTCCCAGTCAGGGCACATGCCCGGGTTGTGGGCTTAATCAATGACTTTCTCATCATTGATGTTTCTCTCTCTCTCTCTCTCCCCTCCTCTCCTTTCCTCTCTCTGAAATCAATAGAGATATATTTTAAAAAATAAAAATAAAAAATAATTAAAAGTACAGACAAATATGACCCACCATCAAGATAATCAGATGTCAACATTTTGCCATATTTGCTTTAGACCCCCCTTTCTCTTTCATATGAATAAAATGTATAGCTTATCCCTTCCTTCCTCTCTCTCCAGAGGCACCACTATCCTGAAGTTGGTGCATGTCATTCTCGTGAATGCTTTTGTGCTTTTTTACATAGGGTTGGTATCTCTATAGAATATATAATATTGTTTTGTGGGTTTAAAATTCTAAATAAATACTATCATACAGTATGTATAATTTTTCAACTTGTTTTTTTCTGTTCAACAATGTTTTAATATTTATCCTTGTTACACATGCACATGGAGTTCATTTTTAACTGTACAATATTCCATTGTATGAAAAAGCCACAGATTTTTAAAAAATTACTTCTTTGCTAGAGAATAGATAGGTAGTTTTGACTTTTTTGCTACTTCAAAGAAGGCTACAATGCACATCTGACACAGCTATGTGTAAAGTTATGTGCATCTCCTTGTGCTGAGTTACAAGGTAATCCCATTTTCAACTCTACCAAGTATCACAAAATTGTTTTC